GTGAGAAATTCACTTGTCTACAGCAGCCCTGCCCCTGGATGTGATAGCCAAGTTAATCTCTCTTATCACAAGTCTCATTGATGTTTGCTTAGAAGAGCAGCTGGAAGTCTGCTTTATGTATGGCAACCTTTCATAAAGTTTATTCTTGGTAATAAAGCCCCTGGGGTAAGAGCCAGGCTATTATAAGAGACAATCCTCTCTCTGAACAAGAGTATTTTATTTTGTCAGCTGGAATTAGTGTTTGAGTATCTTGTGCTTGTGACAGTAAGCTGGTGAGTAAGGCAAAGTTATCTCTGAAGGGCATTTTTTCACTAGCTTGAAATTAATGGCTTTTACTGGAAATGAAAATGCTGCTGTAAAACTTAATGTGAAGGCAGTTACTTAAATTGTTAACCAGTGAATTAACTTGTGAATTTCCAGTGCTTCAGTGAGAAAATGAGACAAATGCATTGTCTCATTTTGTTTTATGTATTTCTTGTTGAAATTTATAAACAGCTAAAGAAAATTGGGAACACATCATGTATTTATTTTTCACTTATCCTTTTGTTAACATAGTGCTGGGCATAGAAGTTAAGCATTGATTCATTGATCTAAGTAATGTTTACTAAGCATCTACTGTAGTACTTTAGTGATGGCTCTTTTTTTAAGCGATAAGGAAATAGGACCAAAAAGCCAAAATAGGTGATTTGTTATTTTTTATGATAATAAAAAAATACTGTTGCTACTTTACCTTGTCTTACCAAAACCTGCTACATTTAGATAGTACTTTTACATGTATTATCTAATTTAAACTTTAGGGAGTCCTGTAAATTAGGTCCGTTTTATAGATGAGAAAGCTGAGGCCAAGATCAATGCAGGGCTTTGCCCAAAGTTATCTGAAGTAGGAAATCTTGGACTGTTAGAACCCAGATTTTCTAACTGGTTCAAACAATAGGATTCTTGTACTGGACTCCTTCCTAAAAGAATCCTGCAGAGTGTTTTTTTTAATAATTTATTTTAGATATAATTTTAATAAATTTTGTTATTTGATTTCTAACTTGTTGGCAAATGAAAATAGTCCATTTAGAACTACCTGCTAGTGGTAGTCAAATGGCCAGCAGCAGTATCTGGTAGACAACAACAGAGGGTGACTGTGAAAAGCTGTGAAGGGAACACAAATCAGCAAGCATTGGGATCTGGCACTGATGTTGCCAAAGGGTCTTATGTTTTAGTAACTTCCCAGTAATCACTTCATTATAACATCATATAATAATTGCCATAGAAATAATTATTTTAGAAATACGTACAAGAAGTTTCATTAGAATACTTGCTGCATTTAGAAAATTAACAGATATTAACTTAATTCTTTATTATCTTGGATAAATGAAGCATTGTTGTGTTAACCTTTTAGAAGTCTGAGATTTGTAGTATTGTGGTATTTTATACCGGTCAAATCCCTGTTAACTTTAGTATGACAAACTCACATACTGCTTATCAGTCAGTCAGTCAACTTTGATCTGATTTCACTGAAATTATTTACAACAGCTTTTGTTTCTAACTCTGTTAAGTATCAGAGCCATTGTCTCTAACAGGGAATAATAGCTAGCCCAACTCTCACAAAGACCAGAGAGGCAGTGCTTGAAGGTAGTGGTCAGTGGAAGGAGAGCTAAGAGGTAATGCACTAGGGGTGGCCGTTGAGACCTAAAAGTCTGAAGCAAGCTCATAGAACCTTCTACAAGGGAAGAATCTTTCCAAGACAGATTTGATGCCCTCCCCACCTTCTCTGTCCTGAGAAGGAGCTGTCCTCTGTTCTCCCTTGGGAGTTTATTTTTGGCTTGCTTCCCTAGCTGTCTTCATTTTAAAGGGATTTAATTGATAATTAGATACTGAAAATGAGTAAACATATTTGGAAATGAGTGGTAGACATTTTATAATATGTTTAGTTCCCTTATGAATAGGGAGAAATAATTTGTTGATATGTGTGGAAGTACTTTGCTCTCTTAATGTATAATCAATGCTTAATTATTCATCATTCTCCAGTAATCACTTTTTATTTGGTATCTTCGAGCCAGACCAGTATAATATAATCAATGTTTCTGATACTAATCTCATATCCTTACAGGACTTCCAAATTAAGGAGAGATTAAACTGATACCTTTTAAGGATGATAGTACATTACTGAATTTTAGTTCTTTGAAAGCTGATAATTTTAGGCATGGTTAAAACCAGAATATTTTATTTCTGGTAAAAATATATAACCATGATGTATGATAATTTATTTTTATGTATTAAGTGGTATATTTGAATAGAACACACTTGTTTTTAAAGATTTCTTTTTATTTCATAGGTACAAAGTAGAAAAGTAGAATATAATACAATACATATGGATTGATAGCAGGGGTATATACAGAATATATATCTAGGCATTAAAAATTAGAAAGCTGTAAATAACTGTTACAATAATAACCCCTGGATGGTAGGATTGTAGACAGTCTTATTTTCCTATGCTTTTCTATACTTTCTAGTTTTTCTCAAATGAAGGTATATTATTTTTACAGGATAAAGAAATTATTTAAGAATAAAAGATTCTTTTATGGTCAGGGAGCTAAGTCTGTAATAATGCATTTTGTTCTTAATTCTTATCTATTAAGAATGTGCTTGCCTTTATGGGTGAATTTGTATTTCATTAATGTGAAAGTTTGCTGTTTTGGAGGGATACATTTATTACTACAACTTAAAAGCAATTTCGTGTGACTGGGTCTCCGTGTTTGTCTGATGAAGTTTATAGATAAAGAAGACTTAAAAATCCTTCATTTTTCTGAGCAGGAGTAGCCTCAGCAAGGCTGTCCCCTTTCATTTCTGTGCCTCTTTCCTTCGCTCATTTGTGTCACATCTTAACCATAAATATATGTATGCAATCTTGGGAAATGTTTATTTCAGATGAAATTAAAACTGTATGTAAGTGCATTTTTAAAATAATTGATTAAAGATGTGTTACTGAAATTTTGAATATGGTCATGGTTTTAAAATATGGCATTTTGTGGTGAATGCACTAAAATCTGGCAAATTATAAATTACTTATGGAAAATTATTGTAGATTATTTGTAAGAATGATAGCAGTTTGTGTTTAATTAGCACCTCTGGGTTCTTTTTAGTTTGCAGGTTTTTGTATAAGTTGTGCATGAATTCTTTTTTTTTTTTAATTCTGTTTTCAATAGATTGATTATCTTGTCTGAGATTCTGCAATTTCCTTATTTTAGTAAAACAAATTTTCTCAAACATTTAGGTACCTGTTTATAATGTTTTGTTGGCTGACGTCCAATTTAGAAAAGATAAGTGAAAAGCCAAGGCTAAGACTTGTAAAAATTGTTTTCAGAATTCTAAGACCTTGGAATTCATCTTGTTAGATCATTGTGAGTTAACTTTTTCCTCTGAATTTCATTAATTTGATTTAATACCTACTTTTCCCATCTTGATGTTGTTTCAGTATGTCTGTGAAGTGTTGATTACTGATACTTAAATCATTAGTCACCATTCTAAAGGAAAGCCACTTTTAAGAACTATGATTTTGTTAACTAAAAAATAAAGGGATTGTACTTGCTGAGTTTCTAAGATCCCTTTAAACAGTAAAATGACAGGAGCATGTGATAAACTGTTTTTTCTCTGAGTGCCTGCTTTCTCAGAGCATGTTCCTTCCTCTCCATGTGCCTGGAGCCATACAAAGGCAGTTAAACAGACACACATTTTTTGAAGATTTAGGGAGGAGTGGACATTTTTATGTTAAAGCAAATGTACATTTTGGAGTAAAATTACAAAGTGTGTATATGTAAGCTAAACCAGGAGCATTCAGAAAACTTTTGTCCTTGTAGCAGACATATTCCATTGATATGCAACAGAATTTTCATTTACTTTCTGTTGTGAAAAGTCTGGGAAGCAGCGTTAATGTATGGAGTAGTTTGTCTCCCATAAATATCAGCCATACAGTCATGCTTATTTTAGTTGAGATTAAGAGGCAAGTAGGAATTTAATTCTTTTTTTTTTTTTTTAACTTTTCTTAAAGGAAAATTTCAGACATATGTAATCACAGACACATAGTATATTGGTCACCGACAGAACCATCACTGTCACCTTCAACAGATATCTCATGCCAATCTTTAGGAATTTAATTTTATGTATATTTGCTAAGATTTGCCAAGATAAGCATCTGTAAGGTCAAGGTACTGACATCAGAAGCATTTCTGAACAAAGATGTTGCAGTTGGTGGGTGGGTATGACTGTGCTCAGCTGTTGTATAAGCTTGCATAAATAGTATCATCTTGACTTTAATCTTTCGGTTGTTCAGAGGTAGTGTGCATATTTCTGTGTAACTCCTGGAAACGTGCCAAAATAATTTGTATCCTCTCTTCATCCTTGGTACCTTGAGTCTAAATAGTCTGTGAATAAAATCAATGAGTTGACAGTAGGAGCTTGTTGGATAGAAACAATGAGAAGGAATATCTTCATATTTTATTTAAAAAACCTTTGGGTACTACCTGGTTAATATTTTGGAGACTGCAAAATCTGTTTCACTTTTCATCTGTTTGGGAATGCATTTCACAAACATCAGAGTCAGACAGACCTAGGTTCAAATCTTAGCTGTCTTTCAGTAATAACTTACCCTCTCCAAGTCTGTTCTCTCAAGTGTAAAATGGTGACATGGATTGTTGTGTGAATTAAATGAAATAATACATTCAGTGCTTATTATTTTAAAATATCATTTGAATTCTACGATTAAACAAGAGGAGTATGTCCTGAGTTCAAGTTTCAGATAGATTTGTATTGCTGTAATCAAGGACATATAGAAAGGAGAGCCAATCTTTATCTTGTCATTTCTAATTTTCTGACTGGTAGTTATAAGATCTAAAAATATAATGAATGAGATATCTAAAGATAGAAAATGTTCCTTATGTTTGAACAAATGTATTGAAACAAAGCACTGAAAAAATAATGTCTCACAATCATTTCTTATCAAATAATTACAGCAAACTCTGGCCTGTTCTATTCTAACTGCACTATTAAGTGAATTTTCAAGTTCAAGTAAAACTAGCAACATTGGATTGAGTATGGAATTCCATGGTAACTGCAAAAGAGTTTTTCAGGTATTGGCATTTTTGTTCTTGTGTTTTAATTATTGTATCATTCACTTTTTATTCAATCTGTTCCTAATGGGTGAGAACAGTTATTTTAGGTAGTTGAGGATTCATTTTGTGATTTCAGAGGATGTAGTAAAGTGATAGGTTTGGTGAACATAGTGGACAGTTTAAAATTACTTAATTCTAGTCTTAAAACAAAAGAGGAGTGCTACCATAAAGATCCTTATTTATTATTTATTTCTTATTATTTATTATTTATTCCTTAATTGTGTTTAGATATAACTAATTCAATTGATGGGACTCTGCTGGCCTTAAAAATAGGACTGGAAGAATGCCAAAGAGGGCCGTGTATTTAAAATGTTATTGCAGATGGTGTGGGCTCTTTGTCTCGTCTGTATTGTTTGGCTCCGGAGGAAAGTTATGTGAAGGCATTGGCTTAAATCCTGGGGCTCTGCACCGACTCTCCAGCTCTGCAGTAGTTGTCAAAGGCTCTCTTTTTTGTGGACTAGCATTTGTATCACAGTAAATATTCAAACTGGTGTCACTCGAAAGCATAGTGTGATGTAAATTATGAGTAGAGGCCTAAAAATGGAAGATATTCCTAAGGAAATAGTGTTTTCCGCTGGAAATATTAAGGTTTTTGTTGATTATATCTTATGGGTCTAAAAGGGAATACGCTTTGGGTAAGTTTTCCGTACAAAAACATTTGTGATTTATTGACTATAGGAAGAAGACCTTCGTCAGATCTTCATGTTAACTGTTGAAGTTCTGCAGGAGTTTAGCAGGCGGGAAAACCTGAATGCACAGATGTCTTCAGTATTTCAGCGTTACCTTGCACTCGCCAATCAAGTCTTGAGCTGGAACTTTCTTCCTCCAAATTATATCCTTTTAACAAGTGAATAGTTTATTTGTCATAATTTTCATTAAGATGACTTAATTATGGCTGAAAGTGTTTTTTATCTCCGCAGGTTTTATAATACACAATGTTGAAAGAAAATAAGAATTTTTAAAAAAAGAAATAGAATTTAATTTCTTTTATTTTATAATGCCACAATATAGTAGACTAATTAAAAGATTTCAGATTCCATTTACTGCATTGTGGAAGAAATTTGAATTATATGGAACCATTCAATGGATAATGGGGCCACTGCTAACTTAGGAATAGCAGTGTTCCTTGAGAAGGAAAAGGAAAAAGGTGGAAACTACATTTTTATTAAGAAACTGTAAATCATTTTCTTCTTGGACATATAATTACATTGGATTTTTTCCACTTATATTCCTTAAAGCTAGTTCGGCATACTCTAATCTTTATGGTCGGCAGTATTGTTCAAATGTATTTAATAAGCTAGTAATATGTTTATTCTTCAAAGGCCTTTACCAGTATAAAGAGATGAAAATTTCATTTTTAGGAAATTATTAATGCGAAGTAAGTTTGAATGGGTATATTATAGACACATATGTCTGCTTTTTTTTATCAGTTACTAAATTGGAGAAATTTGTAGCTTAGAAAGCAGTTTCTTGAAGATTATGGTTTACTTTCCAAGAGCGTTGCTGTCTTTTTTTTCTTTTCCCTTTTTCTGCTCAGACCTTGCAGGGATGACAGTAGTAGCCCCTAACCAACTTCTTTGTTGCATAGTTAAGTCAGGCAGACCCGCACTTATGCATATTATCTAACTTTTCCGAATCTCAATTTTTCCAAATGTAAAATGGGGATACGGATTGTTGTGTGAATTAAATGAAACAATACATTTAAAACCCCAGTTTTAGATTGTTTTAAATTTAAAACAATACATTTAAAACACTTTGTAATAACTGCTATTTATGGAGCTCTTAATAGCCTCCTTGAATAAAGTAGTTCATCATATAGCTAGCCATCTGTGTCATACTCTTCTTTCTTGATCTGATACCCTCCTGTATGGTATAGGAAATGTAACATATTCTAGATATCTTTAATCTGGGGGCTCTACTTTCTATTTAGGAGAAAAAGACTAATGATAAGCAAATAGGAAATAGATATTGAGCCATATCAGAGATTTACGGTAAGATACATCTTTATTCCTACATTTACATACATAGATGTTTATTAATTGTGGCTGATAAATTGTGCGATTTAAAAGGGTGTGGTGGGTTGCAGCTTTTCCTTCTATTTTCAACTAATTGCATTCATGCAGTAGAAAATTAACTGTAGAAGGATAAAGAGGATAAAGTGAGTCTGGCTCCCCAAAGCACAAATTCTCTGGTTTTCTTTCCCAAGGGTAGTCACAGTAAGCTGCTGCTCTATGGGTGAAGCTACAGTGAGGTTAATCACTTTTTCCTTTTTTTCCTTTTCTATAATCATCTTTTTCCTAATTAACCACCTTTATGTCTTCAATATATTAATTTAGTTATTCTTGGTTGTAAAGAGGTACATATTTTCTTAGGTTCGCTTTTTAAAAAATTTCTCCTGTGAGTGTTGCAATATTATTTTTGCTCCAGTTTGTTTGTTTATTATTTTTTTTAAGATAGTAAGGCAGAAAGATAGTAAGGCAGATTTATACAAGGGGCCCATGGCAATAGTGACCACTGCAATGGGATCTTACAGTGAAGGAGACAGACTGGACTAACTCCCTGCTCCAGTTTTTTTAGTTAAAAAAAAAAATACGGGGGGGCGGGTATATACATACATAATGAGTGAGATGTGCACCATCTGGGGGATGGTCATGATGGAGACTCAGACTTTTGGGGGGAGAGGGGAAATAGGCATTTATTGAAACCTTAAAATCTGTACCCCCATCATATGCCGAAATAAAAAAAAAATACGTTGAAAAGCCTTGAGAGATTTTAAAGTATCAGGCCATATGGAGCTATCAAAACATTAATTATATATGTAGGGAAAATCAATAAAAGTTACACTGAATATATTGTATCCAATTTTGAAGTTTCTGTTTTAGGGGAAAATACAGTTGGCGGAGAGTGACTATTTCACAGAGAAGCAGCTCTCTGGGCGTTTGCAAACAAAATTTGTCTGAAAGATACACACACATAAAATATTTTATAAAGTATTTAGATAAAGCTTTGGAAACCTGTCATCTGAAAATGATAAGCACTACTGTGGTGTTGTCAAAGGAAATAATCCCTTGTTTAAAGAAAGTATATTTTGGTCTTGACTTGAGGCTATTCTACTTCATGGCTTAAAAGTGAGTTCTTTTGTGACGATAGACGTTTGTATAGTGCCATTTGCTGGCTCACTGAACTACACCTAAATATTTCTTCCTTTGAGTGCATCAGCTTTAAGTGTAGGAGAAAGAACTTGGCAGTGGAATTAAACTAGACTACAGTTTTAGCACTAGTTAGGGAAACCATTTTCAAGGAACTCAATTCTCACTAATTTCTAATTTTGGCAATTATCTGAATATCTACCATTCAATCAGTAGGGAGAGAATTGAGTAATTATTCAGCTTTATACCAGGGAGAGGATCTAATAATAAAATTTAACTTAGTCAAAATGTGTTGAGTTGGTGGCTTCTTTTTTTTGTTTGTTTTAAGGCTGATCAAGTGAAGCAGTGGGAGTGGAGAAAGAAGAGTCGGTGGCATCTTAAAAGATGATTTACCTTGAGGATAGACAAATGAATAACAAGACCATGTAAAATGCGTTTATATCTTTTGTGTCTAATATATTTGATAATTTAGAATGGTATCATGTTAGATTAGGCTGTGTTAAACTGTCAGTAATTCCCATTCATAATTTTTTATAATCTGCTTTCTTTTTTATATCTTTTTAGTGCAATTTCAGACAAAGATATACTGAAAGAATAGCTCAGAGAACTCTCATATGCCCTTTGCCAATCGTTAATATTTTCCCCATTTATTTTCTCTCTCTCCCCACATGCATGTACAAGAACACATACATGTACATGTATTTATATATGTGTATATTTAGACTCATTTCTTTTCCTTGGAATCCTTTGGAAGTAGTCGTAGAAATTATACCTCTTTACCTCTGAGTACTTCATTTCATATTTTCCTAAGATCAAGAATTTTGAATTCACACTGTGGTTCTTATAAGAGATTGTCTTGCAAAACCATAGTATGATTTTGAAAATCAAGAAATTTAATATTGATACAATATTATCATCTAATCTACAATCTATCTTCAAATTTTGGCAGTTGTCTCAGTAATATCCTTAGTAATTCTGTCCCCTTCTCAAAATCCAGGAAACAAAACATTGTTATTGGCCGGGTGTGGTGACTCACGCCTGTAATCCTAGCTCTGTGGGAGGCCGAGGCGGGCGGATTGCTCGAGGTCAGGAGTTCGAAAACAGCCTCAGCAAGAGCGAGACCCCATCTCTACCATAAATAGAAAGAAATTAACTGATATATATAGAAAAAATTAGCCAGGCATGGTGGCGCATGCCTGTAGTCCCAGCTTCTCGGGAGGCTGAGGCAAGAGGATTGCTTGAGCCCAGGAGTTTGAGGTTCCTGTGAGCTAGACTGATGCCACGGCACTCACTCTAGCCTGGACAACAAAACGAGACTGTCTCAAACAAAACAAAACAAAAAGCATTGTTATTAGTTATTATATCGTCTAAATCTTTTTTGATCTAGAATAGAAAATCATAATGAAGAGAAAATATTCTTCATTAAGTGGAAGTGAATCAACATAAAGGGTGTCATCTTCATTGTTTTCACATTGTCTAGGCAGAGGAGGAGGAGGAAGAAGAGAGTTGGTCTTGCTGTCTTAGGGATAGCAGAGGTGGAAGAGGTGAGGAAGTGGGAAGGGGAGGCAGAGTCTGGCACACTTAGTGTAACTTTTATTGAAAAAAATCCACATGTAAATGGACCCACATGGTTCAAACCTGTCTTGTTAAAGGATCAACTATCTAGATAATGTACAGAGCATTGGCTATGATAGCCCAAGGGAGTAGGAGTTTGTGCCAGTGGAAGGTTATGTTTTGTACTTTCCCCCTAAGTTCTGGAGAGATGAACCTGTTTATTGCCTGAGGGGAGAAATCAGGATTTAGGAAAGAAAATATGATATTGTAGTACTAGGCCAAGGATATAGACATTGAGATAGCCCAGGGCTTAGTTGAGGTAGTGAGGAAGACAGGAAGGAAGCCCTGTTAGTTAATATGAGTTGCCTGCCTTGATGATCCAAGTTTCTTAGCTTTTGAACAATGATTTGATCAGCTTTGTCTAGGATTGTTCTGAAATGGAGGAAGAAAGTGGTAGAAATCAGTATCTGATGGAATTTTAAAGTATATACATGTAAAGCCATTGTGAAGTATTTTCTTTAATCCTCTCTTTTTTGAGCAATCAGTATTTCCTCCAATTATTGTCTCTCTTTATACCCAGTATTGTGCACTTTAAAAAAGAAAGAAGGCCCAGTGTGATGACTCACACCTGTAATCCTAGCACTTTGGGAGGCCAAGGCAGGAGGATCACTTAAGGGCAGGAGTTCAAAACCAGCCTGAGCAATATAACGAGACCCTGTCTCTACACAAAAATAGAAAAATTACTTGGACATGGTGGTGCGGCCTGTAGTACCAGCTGCTCAGGAGGATTGCTTGACCTGAGGAGTTTGTGGTTGCAGTGAGCTTTGATGATGTCACTGCAATCCAGCCTGGGTGATAGAGTGAGACACTGTCTCAAAAAAAAACCAAAAAACAAAAATGAAAATAGATCAGGACTTCAGGAGGCTGATGCGAGAGGATCCCTGGAGGCCAGGAGTTCAAGACTAGCCTGAGCAAGAGTGAATGAGACCCCATCTCTACAAAAAAAATTGAACTATAAAGTTATTAATCAGTGTTTGAAGTAGTTCACGTATTATCCCTTCCAGGGATATTTCTACTTTATAAGGAAGCTATCCAAAAAAACCAGTATGAAGAATTTTTTACTTTGAGC